GCGGTGCCGGGGCAGGTGGGGCGCAGAGGCCTTGCCAGCAGGTCCAGCAGGGTGTCGGCTGGGCTAGGGACCTCGAGGCTGCCGCCGCGCTGCGACTTCGGGCTATTTCTAGAAATCCGAAAGAGCCAAGCGGGAGAGGAAGGGTGAGGGGCACGGAAAGTGCATGCGCTTGAGGCGACGACCCCTGTGCACTCCACGATTTTCCAAGGGGTCCCCTGAGGGGGAGCCACCACCCCACCGCATGGCTCTGAGTCCTGCCTGAGCACACTTCCCATCGAACTTTAAAAAAATAGTTAACTGACTTTATTTATTAAGTCAGTTTGAGATTTACAAAAACCAGAAAACTGTATATATAGCTTATATTGATAACGTTGTAATGAAAGCCCACAGTTTACAACAGGGTTTAGAGTATTGGTTTTGGTAAATGCACAATGCCATGTATCCACTTCAGATATCATACAGAGTATTTTTACCGCTCTAAAAAATCCCGTTCTCCATTATTTATTCCTCTCGTCCCCCTGCCCCAACCCCTGGCAATCACAAATCTTTTATTTCTCTATAGTTTTGCCTCTTCTAAAGTGTCATACAATTGCTAAGTTGTGATCATGCAGAATAACCTTTTGAGACTCGCTTTCCCACTTAGAAATATGCATTTATGTTTCCTTCGTGTCTTTTCATGACTCGACAGCTCATTTCTTTTCATCACTGAATAAAAGTTCCTCTGTGTGATTGCACCAGTTTATCTGTTCACCTATTGAAGTGCTTCTTGGTAGTTTCTGATTTGGAGCAACTATGAATAAAGATGCTACAACATTTCCTGTGCAGGTGTCTGTGTGGACATAGGGTTCATTTCATTTGGGTGAGATTATTTTAGCTTTGAAAATGACTATCATATTCCAAAGTGACCCCACCATTTTGAATTCCCACCAGCAATGAGTTGCTTCCTATCCTTGCCACCAAATATTGATATTTGGTGGTGTCCGTGTTCTCAATTTTGGCCATTTTAAAGACCATATGATGGTATCTCGTTTTAATTTGCATTTCCTAATGAATTATGTTGTGAAGCATCTTTCCATATACTTATTTGCCATCAAAACATCTTGTGGTGTCTGTCCAGATCTTTTGCCCACCTCTTAAAACGTTTTTTTTTCTTATTAAGTTTTAAGAGGGGTTTTTGCATGTTTTGGATACAGTTGTTTATCACGTATATTGTGCACTTCAATTTGTTTTCATAGATTATACTTCTGGTATTATAGCTGCAGTATCAAACTAAAGTCACCTAGATTTTCTTCTATATCTTCTTCCAGGTGTTTTGTAGTTTTTCATTTTATATTTAGCCATATAATCATTTGGGGTTAATTTTTTGTGACAGGTGTAAGTTCTGTACAGATTAATTTTTGGCATATGGATGTCCATTTGTTCCTTACCGTTTGTTGAAAAGACCATCCTTTCTCTACTGGATTGCCTTCCTTTGTCGAAGACCAATTGACTATATTTTATGTGAGTCTGCTTCTGGGCTATTAGTTCCTCAGATTTATTTGTCTTTTCTTTCACCAGTACCACACTGTCTTGATTAATGTAGCTGTAGAGTAATCCTTGAAATTAGGAAGTGTTCTTCTATATTATGTTGGGTATTCTGGGTCTTGTTCCTCTTCATATAAACTCTAGAATCAATTTGTTAATATCCACAAAGTAACTGCCGGGGGTTTTGATTGTGATTGCATAGAACTGATATCTTTGATAGTATCGAATGTCCCTATTCATCTATTTGTTTAGTTCTTTGATTCATTTCATCCATTTCATAGTTTTCCTTATAGAAATCTTATACATATTCTCTTAGATTTATATCTATTTTAGTTTTTTTCGGTTAATGGTGTTATATGTTTGCATTTCAGTTTCCAACTGCTGATTGCTGGCCCTTGGGAAACCATTAGACTCTCGTGTATTAGCCTCATACCTTGCAACCTTACTAAAATCACTGAATCTCATGAGTTTATTCACTCTTTGGGATTTTCTACACAGACAATCATGTCATTTGCAGACAAGGCAGTTTTATTTCTTTTCTCCCAATTTATGTCTTTTATTTCCTTTTCTTGTTCTATTTCATTAGAACTTCCGGTGTGATTTGAGTAAGAGTAAAGAAGGGTTGCTTTTGCCCTGGTCTTAGGTGGATGCATCATTCAGCATGATGTTAGCTATGGGGTTTTTGCAGAGTTCTTTACTAAGTTGAAGAAGTTCCTCTTTTTCCTAGTTTCTTAGAGTTTTCCGTTTTTAATTATAAATGGGTGTTGGAACTTGTTAGATGCTTTTTCTGCATTAATATGATCATGTGAATCTTTTCGTCGTAGCCTATTGATATGCCAGGTACATGAATCAGTTTCCTAATGTTGAACCAGCCTAGCATTGTAATCTTAAGGAGAGTACAGTCACAGCTGCTTAATTTATAGGTTGAGATTCACAAATAGCAAAGGCCTTAAGCATCAAGATAAAAGCAATAAAACAAATTTAATGCACTGTTGATTGACACATGCATGATTACAAAGAAGAAAGAGAATGTACAGAAAGGCAGCTGCATCCCCAGATCAGAAGAGCTTCGGCACCTGAAACTTCAGTTACGAGCCAGGGTGTCTTATTAGGGTTCTGACTGGGAAGGGTCAGGGCAGAATGTCCTCTCCACGGGGGAGACTCCAAAGTCCCCCTGCCAGTCAGGCCCCTTAAATAGCAGCTTAGACAAAAGGAGCCATGTCCCAGCTGCCTATGGGCCCAGAGACAGGGAATCTGTGGAACCTGAGAACTGGCCAACTGCCCGGGGAAACAAGCATCTGTATCTTCTGGACCAGAAGGAGATGTCCCTGCGGGCAGGCCAGGCTTTCCTTCAGTCATGGCCCACCTTTCACTTCTAATTAGTAATTTGTGTTTTCTCTCTTTTTTGTTTGGGTGACATGGCAAGGGGTTTATCAATTATATTGATCTTCCCCAAAAAACAACTTTTGAAAAAAAAAATCTTTTGGTTTTGTTGGCTGTATGGTTTTCAATTTCATTGATTTATGCTCTGATTTTTATTTTTTCTCTTCCTCTGCTTACTTGGCCTTGATTTGGTTCTGTTTTTCTAGTTTCCAGTAGTGGGATCTTAGGTTGTTGATTTAGACCTTTCATTGTTTCTAGTATGTGCATTCAGTGCTGTAACTTCCTTTCTCATCACTATTTCATGGCATTCTGCAAATCTCGATTGGGCATTATTTTAATTTACTTCAAAATACTTTAAAAATCTCCCGAGGCTCATGTGTTGTGTAAAAGTAGATTGTCTAGCCTCCAAATACTTGGGGTTTTCCAGCCAGTTTTCTGTTATTAACTTCTAATTAAATTCCATTCCAGTCCCTGAGCATACTGTGTATGATAGCTTTTATTTTAATTTGTTAATATCTGTTTTATGTCACAGAATTTGGTCTCTCCTAATGAATATTCCACGGGCCTGAGGAGAATGTGTGTCCTGGTGTTATTGGATGAAGTATTTTTAAAATGTCAGTTGGTCCCAGTTGTTTGACTAAGCTGTTCATTTCAGCCCCTATCTTTCCCGACCTCCTGTGGATACACATTTTGATGCTGTTCTGCAGTTCTTGGATAGTCTTTTCTGGCTATTTTGTTCTTCTCTTCATTCTTTCTCCTGTTGCATTTCAATTCAAGAAGTTTCTCTCGACCCATCTTTCAGCTCTCTGAGTCTGCTCACTGTGCCCATCTGCTGATGTGCCTATCAACTGCTGTCTTCATTTCTCTTGAAGGGTATTTGATGTCTAGCGTTTCACTTTCTTTTATTTTGCATTTTTCTCTTTATGATACCCATGTGGTTTTCCATGTTGTCAACCTTTAGCATATTAATCAGTTATTTTAAATTCCCAGACCAATAACTCCAAAATCCCTTTCATATCCGGTTCTGATACTTGATTTTTCTCTTTGCAGTGTTTATTTGATTTGCTGTTTAGCATGCATGTAAATTTTTTGCTGAAATCCAGATGTGATACATGAAATAAAAGGAACTGAGGTAGACAAGCCTTTAGTGTGAGGACTTACATTGCTTATGGTCTCTCCACGTTGCCCAGCCTGGCCTCGAACTTAAGATCATCCTTCCTCAGCTACCTAAGTAGCTGGGATTGCAGGCGTGTGGTATTGCACAGGGCTGAAGACTCCTTCAATGCAGACCACAGCTTGTGTTCTTAACTTCAGTTCCCTCCTGTGCAGGAAGCCCACTGGAGGGTGGTCAGGTGTGGGAGGCAGGGAGGCGTCTTGGTCCTGAATGGATGGATCTCTGTCTGTGAGTGAACTGAGGTGGGCACTGCTCCAGGCGCCAGGCTCTGTGACCTGGGTTCCTTCGAAGGCAGCCCTTGCGGAGGAGAAGAGCTCTGAGTATTTCAGAACGATGACTGTTCCCTTCCCGCTGCGAGAGCCTGGCGGGCTCATGGAGGTGACACCCATGAAGGTGTGAAGGCCCCTGGAACTAAGCACTGAGAGCCTCTGGAAACTCACCTGTCACAGCCCGAGCTCTGGCCCTGAGACGCACTGGCGGCAGCTCTGCCCCGGTGGGCTGTGAGTCTCTGTCCTTACTGTCTCTGTAGGCCCCAGGCAGCAGCTGGCCTGCCCGATTCCCTGCTGTCTGTAATAAAACTGATTTTCAGTGACTTTCCGCACGTGAGGAGAAGGTGACAACTTCTAAGCCCACTGCCCCTTGGGCGCACCACCAGGAAGTTCTGGTCAGCCTTAACTTTTGAGCCTGTGTGTACCTCACCTTCTACTGAAGTCCAGAGTGAGCGACGAGACCTGGCCGTGCTCCTGAGCGCAGAAACTCTGAGGGCTCTCTGAGGGACGTGCTTCTCAGGGCCTCTGTGACAGTGACTGTGGGCAGCCTGTCTACAGGTCCAGGGACTGGTTACGAGGGGCAGTTGTTTGAAGGAGGCCAGATTCCTCTTCACTGTTCTGGAATATCTACTGACTGCCTGTTGTGTGCTGTGGCACAACCATGAGCGAAACGGAAGAATGTGTGTCCTTCATGGCTTCCACGCAGTGGAGAAGACACCGTCAGCGGCAAAGTGTGCTGCAAGTCAGGTGGTGACACAGGCGGTAAGGAGAAATCAACCTGCGTAGGGGAGAGAGGGCAGGGGCTGGAGGGAGGAGGAGGAGAAGGCCCCTCGGAGAAGGCCAAGGTCGACCTGGACAAAAGTGCGGAGGGAGCAGCCATGCATTCTTTTGTTGTTGTTTGTTGGGACAAAGTCTTGCTATTTGGTTTAGGCTGGCCTTGAACTCACTGTGTAAGCCAGGTTAGCCCCAAACTCGTGATCCTCCTGCCTCAGCCTCCTGAGTGCCAGGATTACAGGTGTGCGCCCCCACGCATTCTTATCGATAAAGTAGAGTTGGAGGGTGTTTCAGTCAGTGCTCACTGCCACACAGATCTAGTATAAAATATATACATACAGAAGGACTTACAGTGTCGGTTACCGGGGCTGCTCACAGAGCCACGTGTGAAGAGTGCAAAAAGGCCATCTGTGCTCCGGAAATGAGAAGGATCCAGTCAAAGGGCAAAGGCCTGGAGCTCCCTTCAGAGTCCCATGGGTGTCCTGGTCAGGAGGCCGAAGGGTCTGCTCCAAAAGCCAGGAGACAGTGTCCAAGGCGAGAAGTCCGGAGCTTCTCCAGAGACCACGCTGTGCCTTCCTTCCTGTTTCACAGGCCACAAGCCCACTGGTGCTGTCACTCACACCCAGGATGTCTTCTGTCTTCGGTAAACCCCCTCGGCCACGCCCAGAACCGTGCCAGCCGGGTAGCCAGCGCCTCTTCCTCCAGCGGACACACAGTTAACACACGGAGGGGTACCATCCCGCCTGGGTGCTAGCAGGGCTCCCTGGCTGTGTGTTGGGCGGAGCCTGGGCTGGGGTGGGGCGGGCGCAGACAGCCACAGACTGAGTCTGCTCAGGCTCTTCGTCCCAGTGGCTGGGGGGGGTGAGGCGTGCTCAGAGGGCAAGTGTCCCTCAGGTGTGGCGAGGTTTGCTGAAGGACCACGTGTGCACACAGTGTGGGCGTGGACAGACACTGCCGCCCTGTTCAGGCCGCAGGACTTCCCACGTGCTGCGTCTGCCCCTGAGTGTTCTGGCTGGTGGCTCCTGCTTGTGCCCCAGTTGCAGCTCATGTCCTGGGGGTGCAGCCTGGCCTCAGCACCACGCCTTTCCCTGGAGCCCACAGTCGGTGCTTGGTGCTGACTTGTGTGGTCTCCCTGGGCAGCTTCTGTCTCCCTGCCCAACTGTGAGCTCCATGTGTGTTTGGAGCCTGTAAAGCCTGCCCCGCAACTCCTGACTCCTGATCTGCATGAGTGAGTACACCCCGGAGCCACCTCCGCTGCCTGCTTTCTTTATTCACCCTCGCAGGAGCAGGAGCATTAAGTCCACACCCCGGGTGCGCTACCTGGACTCATTCCTCAGAGGCTCCAGTTGGACACACTGCACCTGCTCCCGGGAGGTGGAGAGGCAGGCCCTCCGCTCACTCTTCCGCTTCCTCGAGACACCAGTGGCAGGTGTGTCCTGGGCCTGTGCCTGATGCACACCATGGCGGCACTGGAGAGCCAGGAGTCAGCGGCACGGCTGGGCAGATTGAGCTCCAGTGTACGATGTGTTTTACAAGCCAGCGCTTTCCTTTCTGCTTCCCGGGCACCAGCAGTCCCCACAGAGCTGGCTGTCTTTGTCACAGGTGTGCTCCTCTTGCAGTTGGGCTGTAGAAGAATGCAGGAAAGCCTGCATGTAGGGACCCCTCAGAAGGGTCCAGGCCTCCACCTCCCCTGCCCCTCGGCCTCTGTCCAGTCCCTCGGTCCTGCTCCCGCATTCCTCCTTGAAGATGTCTTCTTGTCTCCGTCCTCCGCCTTCCCCTCCCTTCTGTCCCACAGGCCCTCCTTGCACGGCTTTGTCCCCACTCCACCCCAGGGCCCTGTAGACCTCTTGGTCCCCAGTGAGTGTCACTGACCCAAGCATCTACAGGGCTGGCGGGAGTGGAGGTGCTGGACCCAGGGGTTTTTCTGCAGTGGTGGTGGGGAGCTGCAGCGTGGGGAGTGGGAAGGACAGGCCCCACCTGGGGCCCCTGTGCCCAGCAGCTGCTGTCCAGGTGGACCGTGAGCCCTGCACCGCCAAATCCGTGAGGGTTTGCAGCAGAAGCAGCAAGCATGGATTTAATTGAAATCTGCAGAACTGTGAATGTTGGTGACAGATTTAAATCCTATTGGTATTTCTTTGCGTCACAGTGAGGTGGGTGAGGTGGTGTGCTTTGGGAGCCAGCGCCAGCAGGACCTCACAAAGAGAAGGCCACTGAGATCGGGTTATACAAGGACAAGGTCGCAGAGCAAGGTGCAATAAAGGTGTGACCAGGGCCGGGGTAGGGGCAGGTGGTGGAGATGGGAGCGCAGGAGAACAGCAGTCCCAGACAGGAGACAGGTACGGGGAGGGGACCTGTGCTGTGAGACTGTCCCAAGGGGCCCAAGGGTGCTGTGCAGGTCGGTCACTGTGAGAGCAGTCAGGATACAGGGCAGGAAAGAAGAGGAGAGAGAAGCAGCAGCGTCTGCAGCGGCCCATAGCTGACCCAGCGCCTGCACACTGCCCTCTACTTTGCCCCTCACCGTGTCTCTGGCCTCCATACATCATCCCCCTCAGTGAGGCCCAGAACCCCTCAACTCAACCAGCACCTCGACAACCCGCCTTGAGCGCCAGCTGCCAAGTCTGCCCAGGCCAGCGGCTGCTGTGGATCAGCAGCACCCAAGTCCCAGGCTGCACCTGACTGTGGCCAAGCACGGTGCCTTCAGGTGCCCAGGGTCCCCATCCAGCGGGCGTGGGGCCCTGCTCTGCACCCTCCGCTCAGCCTGCATGGTGTCTGTGTCCTCCTCAGGGCTCTTCCTTTCCCAGGCCCAGGTGGCCCGTCCTGGAAAGAAGAACATGGTCATCCCTTCCAGTAATACTTAAGGAGGGATCACGACAGGATAATTTCAAGAAACCTTTCGGGTGAGATTACTGTGTGCCAGGTCGCAAACTAAGGGCCATAGCCCAGCAGTGTCTCGCTGCCTGTCCTGGAGTGATGATCATCAGAGCACAGCCTGGACCACGTGCTGCACACCACCTCAGCTGCTCCGTGCCACTGCAGCAGAGCGCAGCAGCTGGGACACAGATCATGTGGCTTGCACAGCCGAAAACACTCTCGGCCTTCACAGCAGAGCTTGCTGATCCACCTCAACTTAAAACTTAGAATCTGATCTCCTGCCACATGATGCCTGCACTGCATCGAGCAGAGAGTGCTGGGGGAGGCTGAGGCAGAAGGGAGAGCCTGGCGATGTCGGGGGCGGACACTGGGGAGCACAGCTGAGGTGCCGTTGGCACGGTGATGACTGTGGTGTGGGGAGGGAACTCAGGGCCAGGCTGAAGGTCGTTTATGGACAAGTAAGAAGGTTCTCAGCTGTGGGAGACGTGTGTATGTTAGTCCGGTTTCTGTTGCGCATAACACAAGACCACAGACTGGGCGTCACGAAGAACAGAAGCCCAGGATCAGGACCGTTGGTACGTTGGGTGGTGCCCTTGAGGGCAGGGTCATCGTGGTGCAGGGCATCACGGGGCAGGAGTCGGGAGCCTGTGTGCGCCTGTCATCGTTCTGGCCTCTCTCTCTCTCTCTCTAAACGCTGTGGTCACATTATGCTACTACTCTTTCAGGAACCCATAGTAAAGACTGCACTTCAGGCTGGGTGTTGTGATGCAGGCCGGTGGTCCCAGAACTCGGGGAGGCTGAGGCATTTCTATTTCAGTCCAGCCTGAGCAACTCAGCAACTTAGCAAGCCCCTGTCTCAAAATAAAAAGTGAAGAAAGGGCTGACCGTATGGCTCAGTCAGTGAGAAGGCCCTGGGTTCAGTGTTCATTACTAAAACAGAGACCAAAGCCAGACACAAACAAAAGACTGGACTGTGTGGCTCGAGGTTGGCTCTGGGTGGGGATGCCAATGCTGGCTGCATGGCAGAGCCACCCAGCAGTTCTCAGAAGATCACAGATGTGTGCTCTGTGACTCCAAGTATGTGACGTTCAGACAGAGGAGACATCAAGAGTGTGTGAGGAGCCCTGACCACACGGTGATAAAGTGACTTCAAAATCACCAAAAAAGTAAACTCACAAGTAAAAGGAGGCTCAACAAAACTGGTCAACAGGGCGACAGAAATTAAAATCTTATTGAAGCTGGGGATGTTGCTCAGTGGTTCTACTGCCTGCCTCACAAGTACAAGGACCTGAGTTGGATCCTCTTTACCAAAAAAAAAAAAAAAAAAAAAAAAG